CACTGAGCATCGCTCTGTCCTTATTTAGGGGGCTTCCCAGGGGACTAAACTCTAGATGAAAGGAATGCTTAAAATTGTAGCACAGACTAAATAGAAAATATTTAGTCTAAACTTCGCGTTTTCAGATGGGGAAACTAAGGCCAAAAGACCAGCACTGACTAAAATCTAAAACACATGAATGAGCAGTAGAAGAGCTGGAATTAACATCCAGATCTCCAAGCCTACCATCGCTCCATGCAACTGGTATCTTTGATTAGCACACCGTCCAGAGTTTTCGCTACCTCTTGATTCCTACAAATTCTACTGTAATGTTTCCCTGACGGGCAGTTTGAATGCCTTAACCAAGATGAATAATCACAGATTAGTCACGGACTAAACAAAAAGTTCATTGAAATCTACAATGTTTCACCCAGAGATAACTACATGTACCTTAGTTGTTTTCCCTTACATGCACAATCTATATCTGACTATAGCGCTCTCCCTACCATCTAGAATCTCGCTTGACTTCTGTACCATGCATTTAATGCTAGATTATATAAACATATAACTTTCTATTTTGTTTCATAGAATCAAATTGTCTTTCAAATAAAACGTCAGATCCCACAAGACCAAATTTTTCTTAATAGTCCCACAGTACCCATGGCAGTGCTATACACCCAGCAGGCAAGCCAACCAATATTCATTGTTGAAAATTAAAGGAATTCAGAAGGTGATATTAAAATAAATATTAACGCTGCAAACCCTGAGCAGGAACACCACCTTGCTCTAAATCACATATTGGTGAAAAATTAAGAACAATCAAGGGACATCTGGTGATGAAAGAAAGTATCCCCCATGAAAGAATCACACACAAATCTTGATGGTTTTCCTGAACTCGTCTATCAAACACTACAAGGGTTTGGGGGAACCTATTGGAGTAAGGCTGGGTAAAAAGCACACAAGTATCCATCAGAAATTTAATTTCTAAAATGTGCCAAAGGAGAAGGGATGAGCAACCATGAAGGAAATGTAACAAAGGCCATTCTCCAGAAGGCCATGTGGCTCACCCTGAACTCGGGCGCTCACAGGAGGCAGCCCTGGGTTGGGAGGAATAGAGGGCCACCTTTCTTTTTCCCAACCCTCAGGGGGCAATCAGGGAGCTAAACTGAACTACTCATTTGCAAAAGATTGGATTGGTAGGAGAAGAGCACAGATGAGAGTAAATTAAGCCAGCCCTGCTTTCTCTGGCTCTTTTAAAAATTCTTTAGCTAAAAAAAGACTCCAAATAATAGCATCAGCTGCTGATCTAAAGTGCTATCTGCTTGTCCTCACCCACCAGTCTGCTGGCCGGGTGCTTTGGGCAATGGAGAGGAGATCAAAGTCTACTTAGAGTTAGAAAGCACTGGGTCTTAGAGATGACATAACCTCAAGAGATCATGTGACCCAGGGCCAATGGTTTTGGTTGCATAGGGGTCCCACTCTAGAGATGAGGCCCAGAAAAATGAACTGTCTTGCCCAAGGTCATTTATGCAGACAAAGGGAGAGGGTGTCTTCCTCCCCAGCATAAGACATGTCCGCTTTACTTCATAAGGGTAAATTCTCTCTAGATGTCAGTGGTTTCAACCACAAACATACACACCCCAAAAATGAAGGGATCACACTCAACTCTCCACGTGCCAAGTGCCCCTTGCTGTGGGCACTGCTATCACAACAGCGATGAAGTAACACCCAAGGGTAGAAATCTTGGCATGGGCTAACTCATAGAATTTAACCCAAGGAGCAATGGACAGGGATTGTCCAGGTTCAAATCCGATCTTCACCACTTGACAATGGAACCTCACCCAGCCTCAATTAATTTCTCTTCAACAAATGAAAACAACTCATAGACTTGCAAGGAATGCACCAAAGTCCGCCCAAAGCTTTTGCAAAGTATCCAAGGAATGCTAGCTCATATTGGTCATATTCTGCTTTTTCTATAGTCTTTTTCCATAGCCATCAGCTCTAGTATATTTATAGCATTGGATACTATCATATATTCATATATAGAAGTTCTGGTTCTATCCAACACAAGCCTTGAGAACTGGCATTAAACTTAGTTAATGGTGTTCACACCTATGGAGATAAAAGGCACTTGTGTGATTTTCATAGTTACCCCATAGGGGAGGGTAGAACTGGCCCTGTGAGGTTCCAAGACTGTAAACTCTGGACAGGAGTGGAGAAAACCCTTTCTCCAAAGGAACAGCTGGTGGTTTCGAACTGCTGCCCTTGCAGTTAGCAGCCCAATGCATAACCATTACATCACCAGAGCTCCTGAGAAACACAAACTACCACGTCACTCAATGGCGTTGACTTTGATTTTGATTTTGTGTGATTTTATTTGATTAAAAACCAAGCACATTTTAAATACTACCATTGCTATTACTAGTACTTCTACAACTGTACTCAATGGATCTTTTCTCTCTCTCTTTTCCTTTGTAGCTTTTCTTCTCTCTTTCATGAGTCTAATGGTTCTCTTATTAAGTGCTGGGTGGTGGATACAGTTACAGACATGATCGATTGCAAAGCAAAAGACTGGAGGTTTGCACCTACCAAGAAGTGACTTGAAAGAAAGACCTGGAAATCTTGTTCTTAAAAATAAGCCATTAATAATCCTATGCAGCACAGTTCTACTCTGACACTCATGGAGGTATCATGATTCAGAGCTGACTCCATGAAAACTTATTCCCATGAAAAGGTGAGAAAGGGACACTGAGAGGAAACAGGGGTATCTTGATTAACAACAAGGCAGAGGTGCACAGGAATCATTTCCTAATGCATCAGGTGCTTATTCAATGCCCAAGGCAGTCTACTTGGACTAAGACATGCACAGGGTTTCAATGGACTGTTCAGACCGGGCCATACTTCCAAATCACCATCTGAACCCCACTGCTTGAGCGCATACTTTGAGTGCAGTGAAAGGAAGCAAGAAATCAATGTCATATCCTTGTTATTCCTGTTCCCAACTTCCATGCAAACCAACAGGAGGAGGTATAGAAAATGATGCAGATTCAGTCCACAAGACCTGGCTGGGGCTCTCAGTGTGGGGATAGCTGTCACACGTGTAGACAAGTAGCAGGGATGAAGACACCAAGGTGGCAACAAAATGTGCCATGGATGCGATGCTTCTAATTCACAGCTCAGTGGTTCCAATAAAGAATGGGCTGCAGTTGGCAAGGGGCACTCTGGCCTATCTCTCGTGCCTGGATTGTTCCAACTTGGACAAAAAAGTAGGTGGATGGCCAGATATGCCCATCTCAGATTCAGCTTTACAAGAGCTTTGATTCTCTGGCCAAGTGCACATCGCTCGTTGGCTTGCCTGGGCAAAACAAAGGCAGAAGCAACACATGTTGGCAAGGGCCTTGTCTGAGTGGTTATTGGCAGGGAGAAGTGCACAAGAATGGCTTACACAAATGGACAGGCTCTACTTGGGAAGGATAAACAGATCCAACTATCACAGGCTTAGCTCTCTGCTCATCTCTGTGGCCTCTGGAAGGAGAGAATGCAAAGAAAATGTCTAGAAGGGTGCCACAGTGGCACCATAGGAGGATAGCCAGAAATGGAAGTAGACAACCTGTGTGAAGCGCCATTCCTGCTACTGACCTCCTTGAGTGGCTCCACACATACCCTTTAAAAGCTGTAAGCTCTGCGCAGCTGCAAGCTGCCGATGCAATCCCACACCTCTAACCCCGCGTTTCCTCATGAAGGAAAGAAACATGCTCCAGGGGTCAATGACACTCAATGTGGGAAATCTGGGTTCAGCTGGTGACCAACGCATCTCATGTGCAGCCACCACTTATCTGTCAGTGAAGGCTTGCAGTCGCTCTGATGCTGAAGAGGTTTCAATAGCACTTCCAGACCAACATGGACTAGGAACAACACCCTGATAATCTACTTCCAAGTACCCGCCAGTGAAAATCCTCTGGATCCTAACAGTCTGGTCTGAAGCTTATCATGAGGTAATGCCGCACTAGAAGGCATGTTGTTCCATTGTGCATGCGGGCACATGAGTTGGGTACCAACTTAACCTCAGCTAACAGCAATAACAAGAGGATAAATTGACCTCATCAGGTTGAGAGAAAATTCATGTAATCTATATCAGGAGTTCAGCATAGAGCCTAGATAGAGTATAAGTGTTCAATAAAGTTTAGCAAGTAATAACAACTTCTTGCAGATCATTTGGGATGAATACGCTCTAGGGGCTTTGTAGCCCAACCATTGTGCTTGATTCTAAACTCTGGTCAGATGGGGGGGGGGGTGCCTTTGGGCATACTGGCTGAGAAGGCTAGGCTCACAATTTAGAAGCATCTCAAGGTTGCATTGTCATCTATATCATGCTGGTGTTGGTTTGAGGAGCTGGAGCTCATGCTGGTTCCTGACAGACAAGTCAACTGGCAAGGTAAAAGAAGGATCGCAGTGCTTGGAAGAGAAGACACAATTGCCCTAACTTTTATAGGGTTGCAGTAGCATGCTGACATGCTGGAGAGCTGTGATACTCTAAGGTTGGGGACAGCCCTGGGTTCTTCCAGGCAAAGCAGTCACTCTCTGATGAAGAGTCATTGAGTATGCTGAACGCCACCCACACCTGATTATTTTTGGCAATTAATTGGTGCTCCTTGAGGACCTGGCACCATCTACACAGCGTGCATGTCTACACACCTTGGTCCAGTTTACTCGACTTTGCAACCCAATTCCAGTCCCCAGAACTCAACAGAACCCTCACACCATGGCAAGCCCCAGAGGAAAACTTACAGGACAGAAGTTTCCACACTGTGTATGAGGCAGGGGATGGAAGTCATCCCAGTAGAAGGCACTGCTACCTGGTAAGTGCCACCTATCGTTCTCAGTGCCCCAGAGTTCTGTAGCCTGGGGCAGGCCCACCCAGAGTGACACCACTAGATTCCACACACTATTAGAAATTCAAGTGTAGACAGTACCCTCAAGTAGACCAAGCTATTAGATATTAATGTTCAGACAACACCTACCTCACTCCAGACCAGCATGGTACCGAATATGACCTGTAACCCATCAAAGAAATTGTCCCCTATGATGATCACAGTCGCGCCTCCCGTCGTCCATCCTTCACTCGGGCTGATGGCTTTGATACAGGGAGTAGCTGCTTTTCCACACACATGAAAAAGAGAAGGAGTGTGCTGTTAGAACCAAACTTTAATGATGGGAGACTTGAGAAAGAAAAAAAATCTTTTATCTTTCCCACTAGCAGAAAACCCCTCAAGAGCTCAGCATTCCCTAGCTACAGTGGGACCTGAAAAATGATGGGTGAGATTTCACTTGGAAAACCATTCTTTTCATAGTTCCTCTTAAAAACGCATCTACAGCCCCCACCCCAAATCTTCATCGCATTGGGAATCTTGTGAGAAAAACACAGAAATTAATTTAAATTTATGGAAGACAAGAGGTTTTTTGTTTGTTTGTTTGTTTGTTGTTTTTTTGGCTTTTTATGGGTGAAGTTTTGGAACTGCTGGAAACCTTATATACTCGTATTTGCTTCCAAAAGATGTCTCCTGAAACGAAAATGCATCCATTTTAGATAAACATTTCTACTCAGTGAAAAGTTAAGGGAGAGGAGGCGGGGCAGGAAGTGAGGCTCCACGCCTTCGATCTAGCACGTGGACAGAGCAGCATCCTCTGAAGCTGGTCCAATCCCTGTCTAGAACCCCATTTTACTGATGCAAGGAGAGCTGGTCCCTGGGGCTGAATTGTATCACCAAATTGCTGAGTCAGAGCTGATCACAGAGAGGCCACAAGTCCTTTGCTTTGTGGTCTCCCCTGAGCTTTAAACCCCAACACTGACTTCTTCAAAATGTCATCTGTCTTCTTTCCCCATTATAAATGGCCCTCAGAGCTGGGAAGTGTTTGTAAAGACTGTGACCAGAGGTGGCTTGCGCAGTTCAGCCTGGAGTACTGTCAACAGGATGGCCAGGACATAAATGGAACTGTGGAATCTGTCTTTGAAATCTTCCCGAGGACACCTTGAAGGTGCCACCGAGGAATTTAAGCTCCACGCCGTCACGCTGCTGTTCTCGGGTCACCGTGATGGCGAGCAGCGAATCGGCTGTGAAAGGAAGGGAGCTACTGGCAAGGAAAGAAGACTGGACCCTCCTCTCTCATAACAAGTTTATTATGGAGAATGCAAGTAGCCAAGCCACTGAGAGGACCGGTTATTTGGAGGGAGACCTGGCAAAACATTATTGTACTTTGTCAAATTTGGCAATGGGTCATGCTCTAACTTTTGCAAAACAAAAAGAAACTGTTAAGCCCAGCCCAGTGGGACCATTGCTCATGTGCTGCCACACAAACAAGTAGAATGGGTTTTGATTCAAAGGAATCTTATAAACTTGCACAGAGAAATTTGGAAATATCCAAACTAAACATTTCGTGCTGGCTGAACTCAGAGCGACACATGTGCAATGAAAACTGATGGCTCACATGCCTATGGCCCCTCACAGCCAGCGCATTCTCTCAAAAGCAAAGTCATTAATATAAAATTGTTTCTAAACATGTAAATGGCCCCGGATCTGCACAATTCCTATCCAATTTCTAACAGGCTTAAATGTTGCCACCGATATTTCAAAGAACTGAGACATTTTCTTTCACAAACTTTTCCTTTAAAAGTAAAATTGCTTGCGTGCAGTATAGCACTGATGAAACACATGTGCTCCCCGCACCCCACGACCATGACCCAGTTCTACCTTACAAATCCAGCTAGACCGGAGAACACACATTGGTACAGAGAAGAGCTCTCCACACATGGAATTCAGGACAGATAAAACCCTCAGGAACAGTAGTGAGAGTTGGTGGGGGCAGGTGGGGGCAGGTGGGGAGGAAGGGAGAACCCATCACAAGGTTGGATATATATAGTCCATCCCCCAGGAGGACGAATAACAGAAATGTGAGTCGAGGGAGACCACAGTGTAAGACATGAAGTAACGTCAATAATATATAATTGATCAAGGATCCACAAGGGTGGGAGGGTAGGAGACAGAGGGGGCGAAAAATGAGCTGATACCGAAGGCTCAAGTAGAAAGAAATTGTTTTGGTAAATATTAATTGCAACATATGTACAAGTGTGCTTAAGACAACTGAATGATGGATTATCATAAGATTTGGAAGAGGTCCCCAATAAAATGATTAATAAAAACACACAAAAAAAATTTTAAGTAAAAATCCTTAAATACACCCAAACCAACGGCAGATGGTGATAAACAATTTCAAGCAATCTAAAAGAGAAATAAATGATAATACTGAGTCTGATATTTTTCAAATATAAGTTCTTTGAAAACGTTTTAGATAATGTTCCAAAATCCTAATCCTTAATTTCTAACTCAGAAGACCTGCTCCCTACAGCAGAATAGACAAGGTATGTGCTTGGGTCCTTCTGCGAAGGAAGGCGCATTGGCTTCAGTGAATTGGTCCTGCTGATGGCCAAGTACAGATGGTGATGATGTCACTAAACTCCATGACCTGATGGTTTCGACCTGCATTACGCATGTTAGCATTAGGATGTCTTTCCGGGTTTTTTATTTTAATTTTTGATCACACATGCATATTTCTTAAATCAAATGTAGTCTGCCCTAGACTTTCCCACTGCTGCTCGAAGGAACGTAGAAGGGCGTGTTGCTATGGCTTGGAATGACTCGCCTACCACACAGACATTATAATAGCAGGGTCAAGGCCTGCGGGTTTCAACTTGACCCCTGCCTTCCCCCTCTTCTCTATTTATTATGTGTGGTCTATAGAAAGCACATTAGAGAGAGAAAAAGAGAGTTTCAAACCCCTAATTTTCAAATTTGGTGACTATCCACTAGTCACAGGAAAGAGGGCACCAACCTTCCAGACAACATGTCAAGCTATCTTCCTAGTCTTTTAGAGAAGAAAAGTCTTGAAGGGAACATTCCAAAAACAGGATGACACACTTCTCAGCCCACCCTGTCTCTAGACTCGAGGGTATCTTCTATCCCTCCGTAAGGCCTGCCAGTCACTCTTAGAACAGGTAAGCCATGCAGCCTTCCCAAATGTTAGACCTGAAAGGGCTTTAAAGGGCACCTATGCATCTGTGAGAGGACTTTCTGTGCCACTTCCTACTGGGAAGTTTGAAGATGATGTTCAGGACAAGCTAGAAATGAATACAGTCATTAATGCTCAGGATAGGGGAAGCAATGGGGAATCATGTAAATGCTGGTGCATTGAATGGCACAGAACCATCTCTGGACAAGCAGATGCTACTGAGCTTGGGAAGGGTCATCCCCCACAAATGATGACCAAGTGTGCTCTGAGTCCCTGAACTGTCAGAAGGAGCTAGGAACCCAGATTTGGGGGTAAAATTTCCTAATTATAATTATCATTTTTCTTTTCTTTATTTATTTATAAAATAGTTGAATTGATACTTCGTCCACATATCATGCAATTCAATAGTTCAACCATATCAAGAAGAGTTGTACAATCTTTGCCACAATCAATTTTAGAACACTTTCTTTCCCAAAAATTTCCTAATTTTTTAGATGTTGGCAACTAACGCAATGCTTTTTAAAATAACGTGTTGTTTAAACAAAATATTCATAAATGGATTCAACTCGGAGGCTGCTGTTTTACAGCATGACCCTAGAGTTCCAAGCAAACTTGTTGGGCAAAAAGCCGAACAGGAAATCGTTACAAAAATGCCCCAAGTCACAAATTTTAAAACATTTACTCCAGTCATGACAGCAAAGCATTAGCTAGAGCCAAGGTGTTCTCCACTTGCCCCCAGGAGAGGAGTGGCCTCAGAAATGCCACTACCGCCACTCTATAGAATATAAGGAGTATCATTAGAATGAAAGAGAAAACACTTTGACATGGAAAGATGTCAAGAATATATTAGCAGGTGATAAAAAGCAATGTGTAAGCTAATTAAAAGTGTGATCCTATTCGTTTTAAAGGTAAGATCTATGAGCCTCTGTGTACTGGAGGGGAGATGTGCGCGTGGAGTTGGGTGTGAACAGACAGGGGTCTGGATGAAGGTACCCCAGCTCTCCTCAGGCGTTCCTCCGAAAAAAGGACTATGATTAGGGTGGGGCTGAGGGAGACGAGGGACTGATCTGTTGTATAGTGTATAGTTCATATTGTATTATCTATGTGATATATAAATGCTTTCAACAAGTACAGAGATTGCCTTCATAATAATAAAGATGTTATATTACAAGAATAAATTAAATAATAGCAGTGTCTTTATGTGTATAATTGATAACATGCACTGCCATCAACTTGATACTAACTCACAGTGATCTAATGTAAGGTTTTGACACTGTCCATCTTTACAAGATACGACAGTCTCATCTTTCTTGTGCAGATCGCCTGGTGGGTTTGAACTGTCAACCTTGCAGCTAACAGCCCAGCCCCGAGCCCACAGGGCAAAAGAAGCCCAGCTGAGCTAACAGACCCCTGAGCCTGTCCTTTTCTCTTCCTTTTGGGTAAGCTTGCTCTGTGGAAGCTCAGAACACATCCTCAAGGCAGAGACGTATTTTTTGGGTTTTGTGTGTGTTTTTCTTTCTCTCAGGATGCACAGAGAGATGCTATAGGAAGACAGGAAAATATTGCTTTTAATAGTTGCTGCAGATGGGTTCATGGGGATTTGAGAGTGAAAAGATTTACTGAAGAGTTCAATCCAGCCCAGGGATGTAATAATCAATACAATTCTATCTCTGAGAAAATATTTTGGAATGGGGGAAGCTGTGGTTGTATTAATATTCAAGATCACATTTACCAGCAAATCCTTGATTTCATTAATAAACAGACTCTCTTTCATCCATGAATTCCCCCACTCCAATTAGGACAGCAGACCAGTTGCTGGTTTTAAGCCTCATTTGAAACAAACAAACAAACAAAAGTATTTGGCGTTGCTCTTTTAATTTTTGGTGGGGAGCCCCTACTTTTTTTTTTTAATTCCAACCCCCACACCAGCCACCAAGGTAGAGGAGATTTTCTTTCCCTCAAACTATGACAATAACATGATTACCCTACCACAGTTTAGCATAATGGCTCTGAAATGTTCGTGGCACATTGCAGAGTTAAAGTGGAAATTATTAGGTAGCTCTTCTTTGTTATAATAATGATCACTCC